TCCCTACACTTCCCTCTAGGCCCAGTTCAGTTCCCTAAACTAAACAAAGATAAACTAAACGAAGATAAAACAAAAATACAAACGACATACAAGCATGGATTTCTTCATGGAAACCAAAATTTAAAACATTTAACACACATTTAGAAAAAAAACAATCCACATTATTACTCTGTGAACAGGAGTAAGTATCTGACAAAGACGTGCCATGATTGGAACCTCCACTAATCTCAGATAGGTGCTGTACAACACGTTATAACATTAATCTCAGAACTTGGGGTTGCTAGGTTGTAGAATCTCTTTGTCCTCATGTGTCTATATCCTTATAGGCCTATTTAGCAATAACATTATAAATATTGGTAATTCATTATTAAATGCATTAAAGAGCTGTCAACTCTGTATTTACAAATGTTAAAAGGTTAATTAATAAAAGGCTTTTAATTTGTCAAGCTTGCTGATGTTGATGTGTTTAAATTGATATGGTCAAATGGCCAATCCTCTCAAATGGATTTTTTTACAAGCTGGCAACCAGAAGTTGTTTATTTGCCATTACAAAGCCATTATTGTTTAAAGGTATAACCCCTTTATAAAGGGCACCTTCTTAAATAGAAATCAAATATGAATGATCAGTGTTGCAAGCTAATAAAGGGCATCAGTTGTGAGGCCACATTTCCATGATGCATACCTTCTATAAGCATGATTTCACTTTCAGCTGGTCCTCTATTCATCAGGAGCAGCCCCTCCCATGGACTGTTTGACTACATGTGTGAAACAAAGCAGCATAGCACCCAACAAACGTGTATAAATGACTTTACATTACCTTCAGATTGGATGCTTATTGTAAAGTGGAAAAACTTCACTTGACAATAAAGCATTCAGTGTGCAGCTCTCCCCTGAAGGGAGGAGTCCATCCTGCTGAGTAAAGAGCCACAGACAGAAAAACAAAGCACACTCCACCGACAGAGGCCTCACAGCAGCTTCCCTCACTACGATGTGAGCTCCCAAACTGGCAACCGTTGTCCTTTAGGTTACATTATAATAACTGAGCAGTGGTGGGAGAAGAACTCAGATTGTTTACATAAATAAAATACTCAAGTAAAGTACGGATACCTCTGTACTAAATTGTACTTAGTTACTTGTAACCTGTGTTAGCAGGGTGATATTCTGAGCACTGCTGTCAGGAAGAGGCCTTTCCAAAACTGTGCGGACTTTGATATGTCAGTTTCACCTGTTACCTACACCAGATCAGTTTCTGTTAAAGAAACAAAAAAGTGTTAAATGACCGCAGTTATGTCTGTGTCAGTAAGCCTAACATCAGACTACAGTCAGGGTACATTTAAGGTCATCAGGAAGTCGAACCCAGCCAAACAGCTGCTTTTAGTTACGATGCTGCACACAGGTGGAACCGACTTCCTGATGACCTTAAATGTACGCCGACTGTAGTCACTTTCAAATCTAGACTGAAAACTCTGCTGTTCCTTTGATTAATTGCTTTCTCTGCTGCACATTTGTTTCCTGTGTTGCATCTGGGGCGACCCATTACTGCACTGTAATTGCATTAACGTTGTTTCCGATCATCTTTTATTTGTTTTTATTTTCATTTTAAGTATTTTAATTCATTTATACAGCTCTACCGTTATGTTTGTCTGAGTTGATTTCATTCTGGTTTTTGCTTTTTGTCTTCCATGTTAATGCTTTCTTTGCCTGTGTGAAGCACTTTGAATTGCCACTGTGTTTAGGATGTGCTGTATACATAAAGCTGCCTTTTCTTCATATCAGCAGTGTTATCATTTTCTCATAACAAGATTAAAAACCATGATTTTTGGTCTTTAAGTTAAAATGACAAAAAAGCTGAAATATAAAAATATAAATGTAACTAATTGGTTATGCAGCTACAAAATGATGGCTCGGTGTTAAAAAAATAATTATAGCATATATCCAAACAAAGCTTACCACTTCTCACAATACAAATATTAGAAAATGTATCTTCAAGACTGTAGCTTGAATTATGCAACTCAAATTAGTCAGTTCATAGCCCACTGAAAAACCTTAATAAAAATCAACTGGACTAGGTTTGTAGGTCGAAGACGTTTCACCACGTTTTGTCCTTTGGGTGCACCAGTCTTTGCCGCAGGGTGTTCCCTGGTTTAAAGTTGAATGGGATATTGTGGTTGCGAAAGATCCTTTTTAACTTCTCTGATCAACCAGCCACACAGGGGATGACCCTCTGGTTTCTCCCTGTTGGTGTTGGGCCTCTTCCTTGCTTTTCTAAGGTTTTTCACCTTACTATGACCTGGATGACTGAGAATCTGCACATTCATAGCCCACTGTTTCTTGCATCAACTGTGTTCTAGCCTGCTAGTTTTCTCAGAATTATAATACTTGAATTACTGTAAAAATGTGAAGGTCTAGGTTTGTGCTGTATTTTAAGAAATTATATTTTCACATGGTAAAGTGGGATCTAATCTCTTAATGTCATTTCTTTTCAGTTAGCATAAACAGTTGGTTCAGTTTGCTGGAGATAATAATGTTTAGGCCTGACTTACTTCCGGTAACAGGAAAAATCCACACTGAAACAGAACTGCATGTATTATTTAAATGCAGTGGGACAGATCAATCATGGTCTATTAGTGTCTCCCCCCTGACTTCCCTAGAAACAATGAGCTCTACATGTTCAGTGGATACAGAGGGACATAAACATGCTGTTGTATGTTTTGTTTACAGTGTTGTTTTTTTCTTTTCTTTACTTTTTAAAAATCATAGCAAACATCAGAACCATAAATGCACCTGTATTTCAGGACAAGCACAGTCATCTCTGATTACACTCAAAAGAAAAGACATTCACATTCATCATCAGATCGGAAATGCCATTCTCTCATTTCCACCGGAGGGTTAAAAAAATAAAACAACAAACTCAAAGCACTGTTAATCTCTGCACTCAATGTAGTGTTTTTATTGTAAAAGCTGAGTACAACTCACATTGGAGCAATACTGAGCAGTGTCAAACTCCAACCAACCAGTCGTCTGCACACCAATCAACCTGAGTCACAGCATGTGACAGAGGTGAAGCATACATATGGATCGGAGCCAATACACAGATGATCCATCGTCATCATCATAAAAAGTAACTGACAGAGATGTTTCAGCAGCTGGTTTCTAAAAGACAGATAAGTAAAGTGCAGGGATTACTGAAATATTACTCATTCAAGAGTTAATGACCTAAGGGATAAGAATGCTTTAAAGTCTATCATGTGACAGCAGACTATCTTATCATTTTACTTAATTTTGTCTACACAGAATTCATGAATGGGGAAAAATAAATGAGTTAAATTACTTTTTTTTTCACCTAACTCAATCATTTATGTGAAAAAGAAGCCTTTGCCATAAAATATTCTAATCGTTTTGTGCTGTTTCAGGGCAGTCCCTTGATTTTTGAGTTGATGATAGATCATTTAAATTTCTTTTAAATTCTACATTAATGACAAAGCTGTTTCAAAAATCAAGATAAATTGGGATCTTTTAGAAAGTACATAACTGACACAAATTCTGAATGAAAAATGTTGAAATTTTATTTTATACATTTTCATATTGCTACATACTGATTACTGTTGAAATCCAGTCCAGAGCAGAGGAGAAGACAAGAAAACAACCAAGACTGATTTACACAGTATGTAACAGTGACACGTTTGCTTGCAAGCACAGAAGAAACCGGTTTTCTAAAGCAAATCTTTTACTACAGAATATTCACAGACAAATGTTTTGGCTTAATGCTCATAAACGTTTGCACTGACATTGAGAAAGGGAATTTATGACGGCTCGATTTACAAGTTATGTACAAAAACTGCACAAATGACGAATCAGAAAAAAGTGACTTTTTTCTATTAACTGCAGTGGTAATCGATGTTAAGATTAGAGGAAGTCGTTACTGGATGCAGTCAGTTTTTATTCCAGCAACAATGATCTGACTAGTGTCCTGGAGGAACACCGAGTCCTTGTATACTCAGTCATTAGCCTCGCACACAGCTTACCATTTTATACATCCAATAAATGATACCGTATTCACAGTCTACTAGTTCTTAAAACCCTTCAGGTGCAGCCATTCTTAGCAGAAGTGTTCCAGTCAAAACAAAAATCCATTTTCAGGCCCACGTGAACTAAATAACAGAAAAGGGTATTTAATGGAACACAAACATATTAAGGATTTCCAACCCGTCTCTCAATTTAACACCATCAGAGGAAAATCTGTGATACTGCCCATTAATAACATTTAATAATTATATTTTATTGTTATTGCAATAAAAGTAAAATCAAATCAACATACTAAATCAATATTGTCAGCTTATAACAGTGTCAGCTCTGTGTGATTTCATGTATACTCTGAATTAAATTCCAAGGTGACATCGATTCTGAAAACTCCACATCCTAACAGCCGCAATAACTCCAACAATATCAGGCTCTGTGCGTGAGTGACTGTGACACGGCAAAACACTCATCCAGTCATCATCAACTGCTGTTTCTCAGTCCTGCCTATTTGAACATGGAGTTGAAGGCTCGTCCAATGACGAGCCGACGTATTTCACTTGTGCCCGCGCCAATTTCATACAGCTTTGCATCACGTAGAAATCGTCCCATAGGGTAGTCGTTGATATAGCCGTTCCCACCTGTTGGCAGGCCATACATAGATCAAAGTTAGTGTGCAGAAAGAGCATGAATAAAAGATGGTTTGAGATTGTTTGTGTACACAAAGTAAAACATTTTCACTCCCTCTGGTTAGAATTTAGGTACTGCAGAAATAAAACACATGCATATTAAAACTACAGTGTGTAACTTCAGGCAGCACCGGCATGAAACTCCAAGTCAATCCACTCTGCTCCGTCTTGCACTCCCTCTCCCTGCTCCACTGTGCTCTATTACAATCTGCTACGCTCCGCCACGCTCTGCCCAGCTCTTCAGACATCTGTCGTTATAAAATTGCAAGAAATGAGAATCCAACAAAACTCAATGATCAAGCACAAATAACTGAAAATCTCTGATTGGTTAGAGAGGTCAATTCCACCCAAAACCTGTTAGAAGCTAATATCTCTACACTGCTGCCGGTGTTGTTCAATAAGTCTGGGTCACAGGAGGCTTGGACAGCACCTCTTCACGTTAAGGCAAGTTTTGGAGCAGATTTCTACAACAAAAATATTTGACAAACATTACATACTGTAGCTTCAAATTCATAAATGCCTGAGCCACTGAGCTCTCAATATCCTTGTCGGTTGCTAATCACGCTGCAACTGTCGTATTGGTGATTTGATCGCAGCTGTGTATTTTCACCCTGAGATATACTGTATAAAGAGTTACAGATAGAGAGATATTACTACGTGACAAAATATGAGAATGATTTGCACTACAATACTGTAATAAAGCATAAAGTCAGCCAACAACACTGAGGCACCTACTGGGCAACAAAAGGCAATAATATGTCATGTGCTCTCTTTAAGTAAAACAAGAAAACTGCAACAGGAACACGAACACAAAAAGATCAAACTCCTTATTACGATGCAAATGGAGGTGACAAAAATACACCCTTTAACAATTTATGTCTGTCAATTGTTCTGATTAAAATAAAGCTTACTGGAAGTTCATTCAGGAAGACAAGTCTGTTTTACACCCTCATTCATTACTTCCCCTAAGCCACACCTCTGGGCTTTGACAGTGTCTGAGTACTGTAGACAGAACATTCCTACTTATCCCTATTATTCTATTTCACTTCTTTAGTTTAAACCAACGTTGTCCTTCTGACAACACTACTAAAACCACTATCACTCACAGCAACCACACTCCATCCAAATGACAACAGTCACTGGTTTATCCCAAAACTGGACATAAAGAAGTTTACATCAGAATCTAATGTTGCACCAAAAACGTGTTTTGTCCAAAAAATGAATTACAACCTTAAGTCTAAGTTTCCTTTTACTAATAAAATCATGACAGACAGCTTGGGTGTAAGGTTCCGTTATACCCGCTCAGTTGCTTGGCAATTACCCAGACACTGAATCCCATCCAGAGCAACCTGAGTGGCGTTCTCAGCACAGTACAGAATCACTCCAGCACAATCCTGCAACGACAATACAAACTAACACAGGTGCGGCATGGGGCTGTGGGCAAACTGTTATGAGATTTTATCTGTACAAGCCCTATAGCACTACTTTTATGTAAACCCTAAAAATTAACACCTCTCAGGCTTTGAATTCAGTTCTATTGTTTTAAAATAGGTAACTTGGTAAGTAAGTTGTATTAAAATCTGTTGCTGCACTGCAGTTTACATGAAAGAAAAATGACTAATACTTATAAAAAAAATTTATAGAGGGAAACAAATACTCCTCCGCGCTAAATTCACATGTGCTCTTAATAAACTGTGTACACTTTGTTGATAAAGATGCAGCATTTTTAATCATTTTTGACTGATACTTTTCTACAGACAGAACTGCAGGAGCATATGAGTAATAAAGTCCTCTCACCTTTGCACTGAAGTGTCCTCTGTCACAAGCCCGAGCGACATTGTACAAATACTGCCGACAGGCGCTCAGTCTGGTGTACATGTCGGCCATCTTGCCTTGCATCAGCTGCCAAGGGATCAACATGACAGCAACCATCAGTTTCACTCAAGTTTTATAGTTCAGTTTTATATTCTAGAGCTACTAAATAGGGGTGTGATGAGATCTTGTGATATTAAAACATGACATTTCTTGTCAAGGCAAAAGCTGTCTCACAATATCAGTACATAACAGCATGGAGTTTGACTATACTTTCACATTAATCTGGCAAAATGCAATTCCCTGCTGTTGTTTACTGGGCTAAGTTGGTCATGAGGTGAGGGGTCACAGGGGCAAGATACAACCACGTTGTAAAGAGTTCGACACGAGTGGATTCATGTTTCCAGCATGTGAGTTTCTGTTGGTTAGCCATGCTGCTAACGTAGCCTAGCTACTCTACCTTAGCACCAATTCAACCACCGTTGAGTCTGCACTGATAAATAACAAACACCATTTAACATCCAGTGCTAATGAAAATCCATTGCGTGTCGCTATGGTGCGTTAACTGTGGCCCAGATTTGATAATGAATAGCAGCCAGTGCTCATGCTAACAAGGTAAACAAAAGAAACTTTTTCCCATGGGCATCCACGTCACCAATCACACCTTTGCCAGATGATATCACCATCCAGTGCAGTGAGGGTGAAAATAGCATAGAAGGTTACACACAACTTCAGTTAGAAGTTCATGCGCAGTCAAAGTCTGAAGAGACTCGTGAAATCATGAAGAGAAGCCAGTCAGCTGAGTTTGTGACAACCTGACAGAACCTGTAGTTCTTGCATATGATTTTACTGCATATAATTCATACTCCAACTAGAACTGAAGTGACATTCATTACAAGATGATTAGTTTCAAAATGCACCTGCAATGTTCTGCATTTTGTGACTGTCAGTTGAATAAAATACTTTTTCTCCAGTCATATATTTTGTAGATTTCTTAAAAATAGTGTTAAAATATCATCTTGTCTCGTTGTTGTGAACCCAGTATTGCGTATCGTCTCGTGGGCTAAGTGTATAATCACACCCCTTCTACTGAACATATGCATGAGGTGTAATCTATTATAAAATGTGTTTCTATTTGACCTTTAAAACTCTACTTTGTCATCTAGTGCCAAACCAGGCCAAACCTGAAAGTGACCAATCTTTTGTCCGAATGCTTCTCTGACGTGTAGGTAGGGAACAGCGAAGTCCAAAACCGCCTGCATGATGCTTGAAAAAGAAAAAATAAAAAAATTAAAAGTGCATTAACTACAATTTTACACATTGTCTGATAAATCAAGTGAAAGCAGGAGAGAGCACGGTGTCTCTCCATGATTACATTTTAAGTATTGTCTCTGAATGGTTAAATTTAGGACTAATCCATGCATAAACTTACCCAACAGGTCCCGATGCAAGCACCAGCCTCTCCAGATCAAGGCCACTCATCAGCACATAAACTCCTTTATTTAGTGAACCAAGGACGTTCTCCTCTATAACAAACAGGAGACAAAAAAAACACAATACATTAAATGCCATCGTCTTAAATGAAAATCTGGTTTCACATGCCACACATAAAAAAAATGAACCAAATCAAAAGCCGATTTATGAGTTCTTCTGTTTAACACAAGCGCACACACGGCAGTGCACATAACACACACGTGGGATTTTGCAGTCTTCAAAGATGAGTTCGCAGGTGCTGGATCCCCTCATGCCAAGTTTGTCAAGCTTCTGTGCAGTAGAAAACCCTGGCATCCCCTACAAAATACACATATATATGGTTTTTAATTGCTATGATTATTATTTCCTTACTCATAATAATTTCCCATAACCTGAACTTTACTGGATTGACCTTTTCAACAATGAAAGCTGTGATGCCTTTTTGATAGGCCTCGGGGTCTGTCTTGGCATAAACAATAAGGACATCAGCCTCTGGTCCATTTGTGATCCAGAACTTGTTTCCATTCAAAACATAGTAGTCACCTGTTTAAAAAAAAAAAAAAAAAAAGCTCTGAGTTAAGCAGAACTTGTTGTGGATTCAAAGTAATATCCCTTACACCATAATCTTGCATGAGAATACACAGTATTTACAATTATTATTTACAGGTTAAAGGAGAGAGGACGTGAGTGCAGACCTATCATTGTGGTTATTTAATAGGTACCTTTGTGGCCTTCATATTATCAGACAGTTCAACAATAATTCTCTCATCCTGGAAACACCTCAGTCTCTCTGGTAAACCAGCACCATGCAAACACACACACACACACACCACTACTCTGTCATTAACCTTAGAGTAAACAGCGGTGACAAAATCAGTATTTACAAGGTATGAAATAAGCTGCAGCCACTGAGCTAACGCCACTCAGACATCTCAATCATCTCCACCTTCCACTAGCTTATGTTTTCAGGTGACTAGTTCGACTAGTTGGTCTGTGAAAGCACAAAACAGCTGCAGTATATTTTCATTTCTGGAATGTGTGTGTCTTCTACAGGTGAAAGTCAAGATTTTATGGTTTGCGATATCTTTGGCTCATGCACAGCCAACAGTCTTCACCTGCGTGGGAATAACTGCATCAGAGAAGTGACTCACTGCTTTTGGTACTTTACCTTTTTTCTTGGCACTGAGTTTCATGGATACGACATCAGAGCCTGAATTGGACTCGCTCATGGCCAGAGCTCCGACATACTCTCCTGACGTTAACTGCCAAAAAGAATCACCCAGACGAGAGTGAAGATTCATAAATACATAGATAAATCAAAGGTTTGTTTAAGGCTTTTTTTAATAAGCTGTTTTCATTCTGACCTTAGGCATGTACTTCTCCTTCTGCTTTCCATTGGCGTGGCGTACCAACTGGTTGACACAGAGGTTAGAGTGGGCGCCGTAACTGAGACCAATGGCTGCTGACACTCGTGATATTTCTTCCATGACAATGACATGATCTAGATAGCCCAGTCCTGTGCCCCCATATTCCACTGAAAGAGATATAAAAAGTACATTGATTTCACACCACCACAAAAAAAGAAAGTTCCCTACTGGATCGATAACTTGCTAAACATTAAATTGTGTTTTAAACTGACCAGTTTCCTAAAAGGTAAATATAATGCAACTAATTCTACTGTACGTACAGCTCTCTTACCTGGAGCGGTGATCCCAAGCAGTCCCATTTCCCCCATCTCTTTCCAAAATTTCTGGTGGAAAAGAAAAGATTACCCAAACAGAAATCCTGCTCTAAATTTAAGTTAATTTACACGTGGAAAGAACACCCTTATGAGATGCTGCACAGCAGGGGCATACATCATGTTCATTCGGGTGCTAGCATTTCCTGAGCTATGCAACTCACTCATGGGGAACTACTAGTATAGTACATGCACAATGGAGGGTTTCAACTCACCCGCATTCCTGGAAATTGATTGCTCTTGTCAATCTCGTCAGCATAAGGTGCAAGTTTTTCTGCATAGAATTTACGGACAGTCTGTCTGAGCTGTGCAAAAGACACACAACAACTCATTCACATATGTCCTTACTTAAGTACTGAATGAATGTGCCAAGGTATTTCACACTCATACAGACATCTGTTAATTGACATTTTCAGCCGGTAATGTCCGAGCTACTGGACTGCCGCTTTCAACCAGTCAGATCCTTAATATAAACCCTGGCCAGTCCAGTCTCCCTCACTTGGTCCCAAATATCACTGTCACCTTGCTTTGACTTAAACCTTCGCTCTGACTCAGCTGCAGCTTTGTTGTCTTTAATTGGAAGGAAGCTTAGACATTATTAGTGAGACTTTAATTACTGTGTTTAGAGTTGGAAAGCTGGGATGTGAATTCTGATTATGCTGTGTTTGTGGGCACACTGGTACCAGGGGTAATGAAACTGCAGACGTTACTGCAAAGTCAGCTTTAAGGAAAGAAGACATATATTAAGTTTCCTTATGGGAAAGTTGAATATAGAAGTATAATCAAAGAAGGTATTGAGAGGGAGTGGCAAAATCAACGGGTAAAGGAAGTCATAGGTAAACATTATTTTAGCCTTCAACCTACTATTAGGAAAGCCATTTATTCATATGGAAACTGCAGGGATGTAAAGTTAACTGGGATATGGCAGGGGGACTGTGGATTAAACAAGTGTTTGCAGATAGTAGGAAAATGTTCAAATGGATTATGCGAGAGTGGTAGACCTGCTGTAATTCAGTGGGAATTACAGCATGGAGAGAAGTAAATTATTTTAAAAAATTAACTGATTAACTGACCCGGTCCCGGATAAGCGGAGGAAAATGGATGGATGGAATGGAACTGATTTATGGGTTTCTTTTTTCCATTTAAAACATTGCCTGGACAACATTAGAACCATTCGTTTTTTGTTTTTTTGCAAAATACAGGTCCATACTCAAGGCTTTAAACGGGTACTGGTACTAAACTATACTAAGTTGTAATATACACCTGTAGAGGGCAGTAATATGACCAGTTGCGTCTACACTACCTTAAATCGAAGAAGAAGACGACAGATGAGAGTAAAGAGTTAAGTGTGTTTGCTAGGTCGGCTAACAGACTCTCAAGGTTTTTCACCTATCTGTGACTATTAGCAAAACTTAAGTCACTACATATTGAGTGCTGCGGTATAACCACCTTCTTGTCATCCACTAGTCACCTACCTATAACTATTTGCAAAAGTCACGACATAATGAGTACTGCGTCCTTAAATAACCGCTTTGTCTGTAAAATGTATTAAACCAGAATATAGTTTAACTTTGTGTTTATGTGACTCTGATGCTGTTTTTACTGCCAGCCGCTTATCAGCACTAGTAAACAGACAAGTGAACTTTGTGCTGTGTTAGCTAGCCCGTGAGGCTAACCTGTATCTGCTCGTCGGTAAGCCCGTTCACCACGTCGTCCACCGGGATAGCAGCCCCAGCGCATCCTCTCCTCGCCACCGTGGGGATGGATAACCTTGAGCCGAGTCGGACAGCGTTTCTCACTGCAAACATGGTGCTGCTTGCAGAACGATAGGCAACGTTAACGGGAAAAACCTAAATCATACAAGGCGAATGTCACCCCTTGTGTTAGCTAGCTACCGTTTTGCAGAGGAAAAGTAAGAGGCCTTACTCTGCCAGTATTTCACTGTACCAAACGTCATCCACAAAAACATTCTCTTTTTCTTTGGAGTATGACAAATCAGCATATTGGTTATTAACGCCACCTAGTGGGCTGGAGTGTATATCGGCTGAAATTAACCTGGCACTTCCCAAAAAAAGTACCTTTCGGAAAGTTAAAACAAGCTGATATGCGTCTCTCAATTTATGACCAAATTAAACATCTTGAGAGGCCCTAAGAAAAATACTTTGCAATGCACTTGCAACTCTGTTCAACAGTGTTGTAACACCTTTGCTGAAACTGATTAAACACCTTAAGCACAAAATACTGGCTTTAAAACTAGATTTTACATTAGACTTTAGATTTTTACAATGCATCTGTATTACATCTGGTACTGACCACTTACAGTATTTTTGTTCTTCTGCCATTCACTTAGAAATTTAAGTAACACATAAAAATCTCAGAAACATCCAAACTATGTTTCTTTCTGCTCATCCATCTCCCCTTTAATCTGTGTGTTGTGTTTGTCCAGAGAACTCATGGATGGTCTCCGGAGAAAGATTTTGACTGGACACTCCAACCTCATCCCACTACCATAAAGAGCGAGAAGAGGCCACAGGCTCTGATGGGGATAAGAGAAGAGGAAAAGACTGTGTATACTTGTACTTTTTCTTTAATTAGAAAAATAAATTATAACATTTTGTGTTGGCTACTCATTATACTATTGGTATTTTGTGATTCTGAGCTTGAACGTGAAATGTAAAAGTAAAACAGAGAAACATATGATAGTTACTTAGTGATTTCTATATTACTTACACATGAAGTTACAGGAAGACAAAAAAAAAGCAGAGCAGCTTTGTTTTTCCTAATAAATGGCTCATTCTTCACTTTCACACTGTTTTTGCTCTTGTCTGGATCCTGGTTCTACCGTTTGTTTCTGAGATCCAGAGCTGTAAAACCGCACAGGAGCGCCTCCTCCTGGACAAGGACTTTGTAATAAATGCTCACAGTTTTAAAAGTTACAAACCTCTTATGCTGGTAGACTGTAACAATGGCATGCTTTATATACATATTGACATTTTTATTTTGAAATTCTTCATTGCTGACAGTTCAAGAACTTTGCTTTTGTATCTCTTCACTTTGTGCAGACTAGTGTGCACAAAGTTTAAATTTTATGTAATTTGATACCATTTTGTATAATGAAACCACGCTTTATGCTGAAACTCCACTATGACGGCTGTGTAGTTGTGTGTACGTGTGTGTGTTTCTGCAGAAACATTTCGATGCACCAACTGCAACAAAACCCTTTTGTGCCTGTGTAGCTGCTGGGTTAAGCACATTTTAATTTAACGATAGTACCCGTTTAGTTTAGGCTCGGGTTAATCAGTGCAAGACAGAAGAAGATCTGTAACTTATAAAAAAAAACCTGTCAGCTGTTTTATTATTCAGTCAGGAAACGGGAAAGGTAATGCGGAAGATAATAAATCGTGTACAGTTGTGTAAGTGCACGCGTGTGTGAACCGCGTAGAAGCCACGCCACCAGCAGAGAGGGGTTCCCCTAACCGACAGCAGACTACGATCCGAGCAGAGAAGCTGACGGAGTCTTTTTAAAAAGCTCGAACAACAAATCTGTCAGTGTCACAGAGGATCGAGTGATTACCAAAAATCAAAGCGCGTCTAGACGCCCTTCCAATGAAATGACCGGATTTGAAGGCTGAAGTGAAGCGGCTGTGCGCCTCTCGTCGTGCGCTCTCACGGCGGATTTAGCTGTGCAGTGCCCAAAAGAGTGCAGAAAAGAGACCTAAAGGGACCCTGAGCTCGCTGGGACTGGAATAAGCAAGAGATATAGGTTGGAGCGAAGAACAGGAGGAAAATCAGCCCAGATTGCGATGAACTTCTTCAGAAAGCTGCTGAAATAGCCCCGGAGCGCCGACTGTGATGGAAGAGCGCCAGGTACCCCAGGTCACCATCACCTCGGATGTAGGCTTGGAGATGCAGCAGGATGATACGGTGGACGGTAAACTGAGCAGGAAACTGTCCAGCTCCTCTATCTCCTCCACGGGGTCCTCTACTGTGGAGTCCGAGGATGACCTACTCAGTGACTCCGAGACCAAAGGCATCGTCGATCTAGAGCACCTGGTCGACTCCGTGGAGGTGAGTAAAGCTGCAAAGACATAAAGATCTGGGTCAAACTTTATGAGGCTGTAAAAGTGGTTCGTAAGTTTGAGTTTCCATCAGACCCTGATAGGGTTTCCAGTGATTTACGAAATAATAATTCCACTATATTTTTTGTTTCAGTTTTCCAGTTACAGAAGCTGTATACTGTTAAGGTCACACTAAACTGATGATAGCAAAAGTATGCCTGAGAAAAAAACATTTCAGTTTGCCATTCCTGGCCTTTTTGCAAAGCTGCATCCTCTTTAATTACCCAGTTACAGTAAAGAGCTGTTTTGACAACAACAACAAGATAACTGTTTGGAGAAAAAATGGCAATAACACAGATATAACAATACTTAAGACGTGTGCTTAGTTGATTTTCTAGTACTGTCTTGCATAAATATGATTGTCCTCGCTGAAATCATGTTATCTCCTCTTATATTTAAAGGGTTCTCAAAGTCTTTCACATCACCTTAATGTAAAAAATGAAACTAACATGACAAAGCTGCTGACAGCCTGATGACCTCTGTTGTGTTGGAGGTGCTGGGCTGCTACTGTCAGAGCTGTGCATGATCTTGTTGTTTGGAGATCCAACTTTTACTATAATGATTCAAGATTTATATTCTTAGTGGCATCGTTTAAACTAATCATCACTTTGTCAGTTTTTGTTTTACTCTCTCACACACAATACATGCATAATATGAGTAGACTGCACCTGCTGCATGTTAAATGTCAGCTTAACAAGTTATTGAATTTGGTATGTTGGCACTGTGTGTTCTCAGTTTTAACACTGTGTCCCTCCTTCAGCACACAGACAACTGCTTATAAGGATTGACCTTTAGTTCAATAAAGCTGAGGGTGGAAGTTTGTTTACCTTTGACATTCGTGGCTGATAGAGCTTTATTTGCGGCTGACACATCTTACTGAACACACTCACATGCGCATTCAAAGACAATGCTGTTTTATATTTCTCTCTGCAGATATTTTTTGCAGCCTTCACACAATCATTGTCTCCTTGTGAGATCTGTAGAGAAGTTGAATGCGATTGCATGAGTCAGTGTTTCAGCCCTCTGGTTAATAACATAATCTTGTTTTTTTTTTGTCTGTGCTGTTGCCATGTTTGATTCAGGTTCAGGCTTTTCCTTGGGCGTGGGCGTGATACTACACTCGTCTTTGCTTTGTCCATACAAGGCCTGTAGCTGTCACTTTCTTTTAAACAGACTAAACACACATTCCCAGTTAATCCACTGTGCTGCTGATCTGTTCAAAGGAGGCTCAATATGAAGACTTTGCTAAAAAAGGTCATGGGCACTCTTTCGTTGCTCTTTTTAAACACCGTAAAATGGAAATATTGGTCGTGTCACCTCTGAAAATAGCAGCTTAAATGCTTCTGCCCCTTTTTTTTCTGTGTGGTCAGTAGCTAATCTGAGCTTTAGGCTTTGACATTTAACAAAGAACCACTTCAGGAAGTCAAAAACACTTGTGTATCTGCACTTAGCCTCTGCCCTGGTTCATACTTTAATGCCTGCGGTGTGTAATACAGAATAATTTCTAGTAGATGATGCAAGGAAAATAATTTTTTAATGGAAATCCATCAGAACAGAGAACAAAGAGGCAAGTAACTGAACAGGTTCATCACTGGTATGAGGTTAATTTGGCAATGTAGTGATTTACATTCCATTAACAATTTGTGGTGATAGCTTGAGGGACAGTAGAAGGCATGAGTTTTAATGGTGGCCCAACAAAACCTGCTTGAGGGAGCAAGTGAGTCATCAGTGCCTTCAGCTGTCTGTTTGTAGAGTTGCCACTGACTACTCCGACTGTTCAGATCAGCATTGTTGAGTCAGTCGACCAACAGGCCTGGTGAGACAGAAAAGGTGTGTCTGACAGAGCGGGAAACAAGTATGTTGGGTGTTGGAAAAACTAACCAGAAGATAAACATTAGGCTAGTCCTCCAAGTAGGATCCTTTTACTTTTTGTAGTCAGTACAGGCGCTTGAGGTTTCTTTCACCAAGGCTGGCGAGGACAGCGTGGTGTGAAAATTATGAATGTCTGACTTTGTGTAAAATGTAAATGTTGTCAAAGAGCTACAGAGCTGCGGGGCTGTTATGTCTACGTTAAAGCCCAGTGTTCAGATTGTTTTCATTCCCTTATCATTGTGTGCGTACATTACACCACATGACTCCAGACTCTTCTTTATTTCAATCACTAACAGTAAATCACCACATTATCCGCATGCATTAGTTGCCAAGGCAGTAAAGACATAGACTCACTGCAAAATGTGAAAGCCCAGCACCTTCCTCACAGTGTGATATTATCAGTAAACATCTAGCACTAAGCGAAGCGTATCACCTGACATTTAAGAGAGACTTGGCTGACTGCTGCAGAGTTCCGCTATTGGTAAGCCTGGTGAACTGTGAGACACTCAAGCACAAGCTGCGTTTGACATGAGAGCCCCCATTTCATTTCCTGTTTCAATTAGAACACACAGAATGAAATGACCTCAAAGAAAGGGTCTGAAAACATGTACAGAACCTGGCTACTTTGATTTCCAACACCTGAGAGTTTCTTTGGTTCATTTTTGTCTAGAAATATAAATATCTCACGGTTTAAAGTGTGTTTTATCTGCGATTTGGTCAGTTTTCTTGGAGGGAAGGGAAAAAAAATCAGGCAGTTTCCCATAAGTGTGAAGCACTATTGTGTCTCTGTGAAATATGCAAGCTGTCACTGTTTTTCTCTGTGTGCGCGTCTTCATTACACAGTGTCGACCATTTTCTTTTATACCAGTGTTGTAAGGACGTTTTAGCTGGTCCTCCAAAGTTCTTTTAAGGTTCAGGTGTCAGGGTAAAGTGTGGCATTAAGGTTAGGGTAGGAGGTTAGGGAATTCAGTAGGAGGTTAGGGAATTCAGTAGGAGGTTAGGGAATTCATTCTGTCAGTGTCACACTGTGGGGACTGAAACTTGTTTACATGCTCACATTGTGCCAGCTTGGCTGTAAAAATCATTACATTCTAGGGCTACGACTTGGTTAGGTTAGGCGAGTAAGGTTAAAGTCTCCAGGAGTCAATGGGTACATCCCACGTTTCTTATAATAACCTCTCTTTCCCCTCACTTTCATCTTTCCTTTGTGTCTTAGTCCCGTGGAACCGATTGGAACGACTTTCAGGTCAACCGAGGACGTAGAAATGATCATGTAAGAGACTTGGGAGTGTCAGAAAAACAAAGGAGGGTGGTGAAAAACAACAACAACAACAACCATGAAAAAATAAATCATTCCTGCCCATGTTTGTTTCTACTGAAACTGAAAAAAGAAAACAGTCATATTACAAAAAAAAAGAAACGATGTGTGAGTTCAGTGTCAAGTGCACAATGTGATCCTGGGTTATTAGGTGTTAAAAGGGTTTTTCTTTAAGTTATGTCAACTTGAACAAAGATGACAAATTATTCATGTTTCCTGTGATGTAACATTCTACATCCTATAAAAGGAAGATTTTGTCGGCATTACCATAAAATGTCTTTAGCTGTAAATTCTCACTCCTAATGATAATAGTGTTGGACTGACTTTCTTTCTGTGACCCATCACCACACTGAGCTGGAGATGCTGAATGGAGATGTTAAGCGCAGATAAGAGTTTCCACAGAAATGGCATTTAACTGACCTAGATTGGACGCCTCATGCAGTGGAAACCAAAACACTTGGCATCAGATTTGCTGACAAACTGCTTATGTGATCAGATTTACATAGACTGGGCCAAGGTCAGTGACATTACACTGCTTATTCCTGGTATCAGATCATTTATGTGAACAGGCACAGCCAAAAACCTGACTCAGTACTTCACAACAATTCTATTTCTTTTCATTATATTCACTTTCATTTGTTTTCTGGCCTATCCTCTCCAGGCGAAGCCATGGTGGAAGTTAAAGACGATTGTCCACTGGCCCTTCGGAGCTACTCGGAGAAAACTCAACTGGGTTCAGCTAGCCGGGCACAAAGGTATGACCTGTGCAGATCTTTCCAGATACTATTCAGTCTATCACATACACTTTGTGACACTGGAGATCCTCGATGGGGAGATCAGATGCCCCGTTTGGCTTGTTGCCTCCACCGTCAGTATTTGTTGTGCAGTCTGGCATAAAATGTTTGTTTCTATCATTGCTAAACTTCTCTGGCAGTTTTATAGAAAACAAAAAATGTAAGGTAAGAGGTCACCACTCAGAGATTAACACTGCTTTACTGAGCTTTTAAGTTAGTATAGTATGTAGCAGTGACGTGCGGTGAGGCTGACAGCTGGTGAGGCACTGACTCTTTTACAGTCAGATTTACAAATACAAATGAACCGTTAACAAATTGTCCATTAACAAATTGTCTATTAACAAACTGTCTGTTAACAAACACTGCGTTAAGTTTTATATCTCATATCAGCATTCTTCACACAAACGTGACCCATATTTAATTTGAGGTTAAAATTTATTCCAGTTGAGCTTATTTCTAACTAGAAATAATAAAAGTTTATGGTCTTACCTTTACTTGTACACGAAATCCATTTGTCAGCTGGTATGTATTACAAACCCTTTTACCGTTCGAATCCAATATTAAAACAAATGTTTTCAATAAAGAAGATCCTTGTGGACAAAAATGTCCAGACTGTCAAAAATGTTTTGATTGAAAGTCCAGATTTGCGAATTTTCTCAGCTTGGAAATGTAATCTTCCATTTTGATAAGGCGGATTGTAAAGGAAATATAAACAAGCACGAAGAAGATTGTAGGTAGCGCAAGAATCTGTGGGCTCACTAGCGCCCTCTGCCTTGAGGCAGGCGTACTGTTTGCCTTTGCATCGCATACAGTTTGTGAGGATAACACGATCCACCGAGAGGCACAGCAAAGTGCTGCCTCATCGCGCATCTCCTCCATGTATTTGAACGGGACATACGGAAATTCTGCTATTCTTTATTTAAAAAAAATCCTTCAACATCGGATTCGAATGGCAAAAGGGCCTACAACACACACCAGCCGACAAATATTAACATTTATTATATTTTATGGTTAACTGTTTTTCAAGATTGACAGGGGAGGCTCTGCCTCACCTGCCTCACCTGCCTCCCCTGACTGCACGTCACTGGTATGTAGGTACATTACTGGACAGTCAGATTGAGAGACTCCATCTATAAATGCCTAAGTGTTTTCTCCTCCTTCCTTTTTGTGAATACTTGAAATCCAAAGTATTGGTCTTTATCTTATCTCAGGCAACTTCAAAGCAGCAGAACAGGGCACCATTCTGAAGAAGTTCTCTGAAAATGAGATGCAGTGTTTTGAGAAGCTAAAAGATGACACAATGCACCCACTCGTCCCCTTTTACTATGGCACTGTGGAAAAAGACGGAGAGTCTTTTCTTCACATGACTGACCTGCTGGCAAACTTTGACCTTCCCAATGTCATGGACTGCAAGATGGGAGTGAGGTGAGGAAGTTGGGTGTTCATTCATGTACTAATAATAAATATTTTTCTTTTCTTTTATTTATTCATTAACAGTCACGCTCACCCAATTTTTCCACACACGTAACTGTCAGAAAGGAGCATTTCTTAGTTGTTAATGGTAATATTTAATACTCATATTCGGTTGAAATAGGTCAATGAAACAAGTGCAGAACGGTGACCGTACGCACTGCCTGAAGTGTTTTTGCTCTATAAGGGAACACCTGTTGTAACTGCAGGCTATATGCTTGGCTTCCTGCCACAGCGGGTGGGGTGCTTCACTGTATTATGTGCACGCACATACACAACTACAGTACACACACACACTGCATATATGCATGAATGCACATATACAGTAAATGTTTAGATATACATGTTCTTGCATGCACAAGCTTGCACCTATGACCATTTGCCCCTGTGAGAGCTTTACTTCCAGTTCAAACAAGCAAACACACACACACACACACCAGATCCAGCACAAACAGGTACACAAACATCACAGATACACACATGGGCAAATAATTTTGTCTACTCGGTGTCAGTATTTCTGGAGGCCACACATGCACACATACACATTTACATTCGCAGGGTGTCCCTGGAGACTCCCCTTTGTCAGAAACACTCTCAGCCGCAAAGCTGCAAAACCACCAGTTTGCACAAACACACACTCAAATTGTCACACAGTCACACACTGTGTGCTGGAGTCTCCTCTCAACTTCCCTCTTCAGCACAGAGGAAGTAGAGGTCGCAAACTGAAACTGAAAATCACATCTGTTTGCACATAACTGTCTAGTATGAATGCAACAACTGTGACTGTGCTGCTGTACAGTTCACTCTTACACTATGTTGTTCTCAACTGTGCAATTCAGCAGTGGCACTGACTGAGACAAAACCGTTATAAAGGAGCCGATATCTCTGGCTTTTACTGTAGCAAAAGAAAAATTATTGTGGTAAGTAACTGAGCAGCAGAAGAAAGTCCTCTGTCAGTTTTATTGTATATTATGAATACAAAAACTTGCATCTTACTAACTTTCGGTGTGAAACTCTGAAATTAAACAACCATTTATTTACAGTACATGCAGCACAGAACACTGCCAGCAGCCAGCAGGCTATAAGCATACAACCCCTGCAACTGAACTATTTACATTTCCTGCTTTTTCAGGACGTACTTGGAGGACGAGCTTGTTCGAGCACGAGAACGACCCAAGCCAAGGGAGGACCTGTACAAGAAAATGGTGGAAGTGGACAATGACGGGCCTACTCCCCAGGAACATTCCCAACGTGGCGTCACGAAGCCTCGCTACATGCAGTGGAGGGAGACTATGAGCTCCACCCACACCCTGGGCTTCAGGATAGAAGGAACCAAGGTAAGGAGAGTGAGATGCTGCGTTGGCACCGTGATTCTCCAGAAAGCTGGCTCATGACTGGAACATTTAGTGACAAAGTCAGTGACTAACTGGTGAAAACACTGGAGCATTTAACAGATAAAGAGGCAGATATTTCCTCCAGAGGTTGGTGGAGACTACAACAGAGCTAAAAGAGAGAGAATATTGGACTTAAATTCACCAGGTGGCCAAAAAAAACACAACTTAACTTAAACAATAATCTTACTTCATATCTTCTGGTAAATTAGCAGTCTTATAACACATTCACCAAATTATTTTAATCAGGTGATGTTTTGTTTACAGATTGTTGTTCTGCTCCAGGGAGCTTAAAAAAAATACAACAGGTTTAAAGAATGCACATAAATTTAGTCCAATCACAGGTACAGTACATAGTCTACCTATCTCTTGAATTGTGCTGCAGAATCACAAAATACATGATTCATGAAGTAATGCATTATATATGCTGTGAGAAATGGCTGCTTGCACCCTTAGTAAACAGCTTGAAGTCATTTTATTGTGCGGTATTCTTATAGAGCTCCTTTCTTCTCTTCAGAAATCTGACGGTACATGTCGAACTGACTTCAAGAGAACCCAGTCGAAGCAGGATGTCATCCAGGTGTTGAAGGACTTTGTTGAAGGAAATGTCAGCATCATAGTACGTGGCAGATGCACAGTATCACTCACAAAGCGAACTGTACATAAGCTCTCGCGTTCACGTTCAGTGCTTGGGAAGATATCAATAATTCTGTATACTCAGTCCTTACTTCTGGAAAAAGGTTGGGTCCTGTCTAAAGATAAATGGAAATAGCCTCAGTGTTTGAACTGCATGAGCAAACCAGGGAGCTAATACAAACAGGGCACAAAGCAAATATTCACACTGTAATGTTGTTTGAGTTTTCTATCAGTGGGAGGTTCCCAAATATACACTGTCAACACCCTGTTGTGGTACAGTTGCAGAGCCTACTTTATGACTTTATTACAAAACACATATTACATTAAAATATGTTTAAAAGTAAATCAAGGGCTTCAAGAAATTTGATTGAGGTTAGTCATTGTTTTTTTTCTTGAAACACAGGAGTCTTACCTGAGCAGACTGATGGAGATCCGGCGGACCCTGCAAATGTCGGCGTTCTTCAAGCGACACGAGGTGATGGCTGACCTAGAGATGAGTGACAAATTCAAGGAAAAACAAACAGTTTGTAATTACATGTGTTGCTTCATCTGAATCCCTATGTGAGGGATTGGACACCATTTTTCCAAAAGGATATTCTGTTATTTGGTGTTTTGACAATGTGTCCAACACCGTCTCACATAGGTGTTTCATCTGGCTGAGGTCGGGTGACATCATCTTCATCCTCACTCAGTGACTCCTCAGTGCAGGGCAATGGTTCCCATAACATACATACAGTACCACACAGTTCTGTCAAACAAAATTGTCAAATTGACTGATATCATCACTATTTATTCATTTTTCTGAGGAGACAGGTTCAACTGTTTTGGCCAATCCATTAAATAATTTAATTTTGATAGCTATTTCTACCTTTTATCCATTAGATTTAGTGATTTCAACCATTTATCCTTGTTTGTACCTAAATATTTCAACCATTTAGCTTTAATTTTCACCTACTCTCAATCACACCATGTAGCGTTCGGCTTCAAAGCTGACTCATAAAAGCATCAGTATTTATTATTCATTATTCAGGTTTAATCTGAAAAGCAAAAAGCTAATATGAAATTTTTCTCTTTTCTAGGTCATTGGCAGCTCTCTCCTTTTTATCCATGACCACACGGGCAAAGCACAGATCTGGATTATTGACTTTGGCAAGACCACAGCATTACCAGAGGGCCAGATGTTAAAACATAACATTCCCTGGCAGGAGGGCAACAGGGAGGATGGTTACCTGTGGGGGCTGGAAAACCTCATCCACACACTGGAGTGTGTAAGCAATGAAGTGAGCAGTGAAGAGACCTGTTGCTCAGTTACTAAGGAAAACAGCCAAACTACAGAAACAGATGGCCAGTGACCTTTGACTTATAAATGGGTGTAAGGAACTCAAATTATTTTAATGGACACCACAGGAGAACATCATTGGGAGGTTTCATACTATATATGTTGATTTGCTTTGGGTGATCTGGGAGCAGTGTTGAAAAGAATACAGACATACTGCAACAGATAACATTGTGTGTAGGTGAAGAAGAGCTTTAAAAAGCTCTTGAATAGTGGCCAGGTATGGGGAGCAGCCACAGGAATTCTGGTCTCTGGCTTTTACTATTTTAAGCACCAAGTGACCATATTTGCTACTGAATGGTTTAATACTGACACAGAGAAAAGATACGATGGACACTGGACACTGGAGAGTTCATCACTGGTTTGAGTAAATGAACTGACACTAATTCAACTTCCTACAAAAAGAAGAGAAGTGAACATGTAGGGATTTGAGCTTCAAAGATGGGATGTTGCATGTGAAAGAAATGCTTATAAAATCCAATTTACAGTAAATCAAGGAAAGTGAGAAAGGAACAAACCTCAAAAACATCTACATCAGAGTTGATGTTGCACATCTGAGTGTAATATTCAAGCACAATTTCTCTTCAATCTGAAACTCTGACCGGGTCACAGACCTCATGCTCATATGACTACAACAATATGACATATTCTCACTATAATACTGCATAATGATTAGACTGTATTATCAAACTGTAATTTATTGTTTATCAGTTTCTATTTCTTTCACTAATTTTATTCCTGTAATCAAACTTGTAATTTTTTTTTATTCTTCTTGTGCTGTTGCAAAACTGGTGGGATACAGCTGCTGTACCTTTAGTACATTTTTTGGTCTGTGTCATAGGTCATATGACATGTGAGAGGTGAGAAAATGAAATTAATGAACATGTATATGGAATTAAAAGGGGGAAAATACTATTATTTTTTATTTTCAATAGTAAAACACTATTTTGTTATCTTATATGTTAGCCAGGGCTGAGTTCACTTCTTTACATTGCCTGTCATTGGGACAAAACTGTAACTGATCAAACTCATAAAATTAAGATCAATACATGTTGAGTTATTAGGGGCACAGTTAGGTTGGATGAAAGTGTGAAAGACAGTATATTGCATAGAATGTCTGCACTTTTGGTGGAAGTGTAACATCCTCAGCTACATTAAGTATACAGGGGAAAAAAACCTTTTCAGTAAGTTTAAAATAAAATGCATCAGTCCTTTAAAAAAAAAAATGACACTGTGAGCATGACGAGGGTGTAAAAGATATTCCACGCTGAATAATATTTCTAAATGGCACTAATCTCTTGATAAAAATAAGTCTTTAGAAAACTATTTTGGCAAGTTACCTTTTTTAAAAGATGTTATTTTCAAGTGGGACTGTTGAGCAACAAGGATAAACACGCGCTAATATCAGCAGGCTGGAAAATAAAAACATACAATAAGCCAACAGATTCCTTATATAAATGTAACCAGACATGGAACATATTAAAAAATAAACTATCGACACATTTATACGCAAAATAAAGACACATATCAGAAGACTACCGTTAAATTGATTAAATAACCTGAAGACAATTGAACTGCTGGTTAATTACCAGCAGGTTTGGTATTCCACATCTGAATACCACCCCCTGCTGAGTAAACATAGGTACAGTCACTGCATCAGGACATGCAGCACACTGGTATCTACTCCAAGTACAGATTCATCGTAAACAATAAGTGAACAACAAATAAATGGCAAAACAGCTACAAATGCAATGGGTTAGTCCAGTGTACGGAAGTAAGTATGAAAATATTTTCACAGCTAAGTGGTCATCTTCAGATTCTGTGTTTACACATTCATGAGACCTCCTGCAGTCCAAGTAAGTGTTGGAACATGGGGGAAGAGACTCGGTAAAAATCTAAAATATACAAAGCCAAACTGATCTCTGTGCAGTTTGTCAAAGAAAATTCTCAGCATAAGCTCCAATTACTGACAGAGAACAGGCATCTAGAAATTTTAAGTCACACAGTCAGTACTTATTACAAACCATTCAGTGTGTTCAGAATACTCTGACACTTTAGGAGTTGGATGAGAAGATTGATACCTCTACTACTACTACTACTAAAATTGAGAATCTTCTGCCAAACTGCTTTTTCGAGGATCAAGAATAAACCTTCAGGTACAAAAGCTAATTCACCACAGGTAGAAAATGGCACTTTCAGAAAATATTTGTTGTTGCAGCACTAGGGAGTGAGTGTTTTCACATTATTATCCCAACTCTTACTACAAGTTCTTAGAGTATTTATAAAATATAAATGAAACATTTCCTGTTTGTGATTCTACGATCAGATTCAAAAGTTTTAATTACTTTTAAATAAAAGCTTCTTCTGATTTTGCACCACTGAAATTAAATCCTCTAATAAGCTACATTCTTGGAGATTGGCTCAATATTTTTTGGCTATATGATGGTACTGTACATTCAAAACTACAAACTCCAACAAACTGAAATAAAGCGACATATGTTACTGCCAAAGCTGTCGTGAAAAAAATAAAGCAAAAACAAACAAGCAGGTTAAAACAAGGAATCCATCTACAGCTGCAATTTATGGCAGCCATCACCAACAGTGTGGACACTGAGAAGGTGCCGGGCTGCACGTCATCCAGCATTTCAGCTACTAGTGTAACAGAAGCCCAGGAAAAGGCTTGACTCCAGCGTCGACTCTGTATCACAGTGTTTGAGTGTGTTCTCCAGCATTCCAGGAGTTCTAACAATTTGCTGTTTGGCTTTTTGCCCATGCGGTCTGTTCCAGATATCCAGAACTTGAGTTTCAGTTTGTGATAAAAGGGGCTCCAGGTGACTTTTTAGTTTAAAATTAATTGAAATCCCTGTTGCAGTAAGCCATTTCTTAGACTGGGGTAACACTATGGTCTTCAGACAGAGATAAACCTGAGTCTCGGTCGCGTGTGGGTTTCTCAAACTTCTTGTGTCTCCTCATGTCCTCGTGTCCGTAGCTGGCATGGCGCTTCAGCAGGGTCTTGGACATACAAGATGCCAGTCCCAGGCTAGTCCCTGAGGAGATACTTAGGCCAGAGCTGGTGGTAGTGATGGCTTCTGGGGCTTTGGGCATAACCAGGAGCAGGTTCTCTGCCTCAGAGCTTGGCTCATCATAGGCACAGTTGACGTTGCCACAGGGGAAACTCTGGAGCTTAGCCAGGCCTATGCTGGCTTTTGTGGTGCCACCTGCTGGGGTCTTATGCGATAATGTGTTCTTGGCAACTTCAGCCTGGCAGGACTGGGATGAAGCTGAGGAAGTGCAGAGGCTGGAAGGGCTGAGGTGGGTGCTGTTGGAGTTATCTAACTCAGCCTTGTTGCTCTCTGGAGTTGGATTGCATGTTAGTGTGCTGGAGATGGAGGAAGTGGAGTTTGAGAGCGGCATGGACTGAGTGTGAGCCAGTGTTTTCTTCCCACGGATATTTTCCAGAACCCAGGAGCCATATGTGGGGTTCCACAGGTTTTTAGTTTTATTCTTTAGCCTCTGGCTGCCTGAGGAGGAGCTGTTTCTAGAGCAAAGTCGGTGCTGGGGAGGCTCAGGGTGAAGCCAGTGACCTCTTGCGCACAAGCTAGGGGCGAGAGCGGGCTCAGCCCAGGACGGCTCCAGCGCATCGCAGCATGATGTCACATCATGGGTGACAGGTTGGGTTCTCTGGAGGAGGAAACAGGGTTTGGAGGGCTGGGGGGGTAGAAGAATGCGACTCAGGCCCAGAGAGGAGAGACCCAGCTGAGAGGAGGAATCCTGGGAAACGGGGTGGGACACCAGATATGGAGTGAGGCTGGTGGAAGTGTGGTTAGAGGAACAAATTACAGTGCTGCCATCATCCTCTGTAGTTGGGCCATATTCCACTGGAAGGGGTGTGTTGATCACATCTGGGTCCTGGTAAAGAAAAGTAAGACATAACAGAGAATAAAAAATAACAACAACAACAACAAAACTATTTCCAAAACTACAATGAAGAATAAAGGAAGGAAAAAATAATAGCAACTGCATATGGTCCAGACCATAAGTATTTGGGTAGTTACAATTTTTGTCATTCATGTTCAGTTTCTGTATATTCAGTGTGAAACTAAATATCGAGTACTATGTTAAAGTCTCTGCTTTAAATTGAGTAGGTTTACATCAATATGAAAATAACTGTATGGGAGATAGAGTCCTTTTAATATGCCGAGGCTAAGTTTAAGGATAAAAAAATAAATAGATACACATAAAGTCAAACATTTACAGTCTTGGCCAAAAATATTGGCAGATAACACACCACTTCTCTCAGAAAACTGTTGCAATCATAAGGTTTTTGATATTCTCATGTTTGTTTCTTTTGTTTGCATTGGAACAACACAAAAAGCAGAGACAAAAGCCAGATCAGATGCATTGCACACAGAACTCCAAACACTTACTGGACAGAATTATTGACACCTTTTCAAAATCATCAGAAATAGTTGTATTTCAAGCAGGTGATGCTCCTTTTACTTTGTAATGAAACTCACCTGCAGCAACATAGAAATCACATTTGCTACCAGTTAAAATGGAGAAATGTTGACTCAACCTTTGTGTCACACTGAGCATGGAGAAAATGGTGGATAAAAAACCTTGATCGATTTCCAAACAAATTCAAGCTGACCTCAGCTTGCACTATCCGTCACCATCTGAATGACAAGGTACACAATGGCAGGAGGCCCAGGGGGACCCCCCACTGCTGAGAGACCTGGAGCAGTTGGCAAGAGAACAGTGATCCAAAATTCCAGTAGAGACGTGTAAGAAACTCACTGATGGTTACAGGAAGTGACTGATTTCAATTATTTTGTCCAAGCGGTGTGCTACCAAATATTAAGTTGAGGGTGTCAGTAATTCTGTCCAGTCCATTTTAGGGGATCTGTGTGGAATGGATCAGATTTGACCTTTTTCCCTCTGCTTTTTTGTGTTGCTCCAATGCACACAAAAGAAATAAACTTGAGCATATAAAAGAATTTGTGACTGCAACAATTTTCTAGGAGAAGTGGTGTATTATCTGACAGAAATGCAGGAGTGCCAATATTTTTCTCCATGACTGTATATGTATACATACACACACACACACACACACACACACACACACACGTGATGTAAAGTATACCTGAGTACAGTAGTTAATTCTTTCAAGGATTGTTGAGAAGTTGGGCCGGTGCTCGGGGCAGTGCTGCCAACACTGGGTCATGATCCGATAGCTTCAATTAACACACACAAATTTAAGATATGTTGTTTAAGCGCTATGTTACAGTATGTAAAATATTACTGGACCAGTGGCATCACTTATTTGTCACTTTTGAGAGAGAACTAAAGCAGAGAAAACTTTCAAAGTTCAGTCAATTCCACATTAAAGGTGGCAGACAAAGCAGGTTCTGTGCCCGTATCTGTGAAAAATGAGTCGTACATCACACAAGCTATCATTTTAAATGGTGGTACGACTCTCACTTAAGAACAGTGTTTCACAAAGAAAAACTACCTTTTATAAGTGTAGCTTTTTTGTTCATAAAGTCTTAGTCTTTTTCTTTGACTCCACAACCTGAATATCCATTTAGAATTACTACAGGATTCTGTTTTGGCAGGAAGTTAGTGAAACATTAACAATGAGAAAACTTTCCTGACAGTGCAAACTAAAACCATTGCAGTTCTGCCCGGCGTGGACTTGGTATCAAGGCTCATCTCTTTTGATGCATGCCCTGTCAGTACTCACACAGGTCCTGGGCAGCCCTTTGGAGGATCCATCCTGCCTCCACTGGTGACAAACTCCAGCACCTCCTGGTTGGTTTTGCACGGATAAGGCATGTAACCCAGAGAGAGGATCTCCCACAGCAGCACTCCAAATGACCTGCAGGGGGAGAAACGGATCATCAAATGATTGGTCAGGCTCATTTGAGCCCATAAAGGAAGGCATGAAAACACCAAAAACAGTTCTGTATACTACCATCAGCAGGTGAAGTCATTTATCCTCAGCTAGAAGTAAATGTTCACTTAGAAAAAGCCAAAGTCACCTCAGCTGCATCCAACTACAAACCTCCCTATAGTCTTCAGTGTGGTCTTCCTGCAGCTTTACTGCAGCTGTGTCCTACTTCTTATTCATAACCAATTACAGTCTGGCGTGTTTATCAAGAACAGTAGGGTTCAAAAGCCAGGCATTTTCTGATGAGCCAAACTAAGGATAAGTTATTTAAAAAAACTGGAGAGACCATTTGTTTGTCTAATATTAGTTCTACAAGTCGTTTATATTATTCTGTTGCTCTGTCAGAACTGATGCTGTACTGTAATGCTGCATTTTCATTTTATGCCATTTTCCCACAGTTGTTTACTGGGGTTGTGTTCTAGTAACTGGAAAGCCACACACAGGAAGTTTTTTAAATTTGTTGTGGGTGAAAATCTTGATCCAAACAACTTACGCACGACAGAACAATGTGCCTCTACAGACGGTAGCTGCGCTTCTCTGCTGCAAGGTTTAGATGATCCTGTGCATATTTTCAACACCACCGTGTCGACTATGACCTATATGGTCTGTTGTATAGTAAATCTGATCTGTAAACATGTATCTTCCTTGCTTTTGTGTGTCCCCTGCTACATATCGGACTTGTTTTATTTCTGGAGAAGTGGTTTGGACACTGCTCTTCTCTAAATGTGATTGCAGTCTGCTAACAGGAACAGGGCTTTTTTTGTTGTTAATTTGCCTCTGTGTCTTGAATACAGATGCTGTTTGGTCTTGTTCTCAATATCCTGCTGAGCTCTCTGTAGGTCTGTCTGTGTTTATACCATGTATCAGTCTTGCAGGTGAAGATTCCCTCCATAAAGGCCTCAGGTGGCATCCATTTGACTGGCAGCATAGCACGACCTCCTTTCCTGTAATAGCTGGCTCTGGGAAAAGAAAAGTAGTGCTGTCAGATTTAGCCCATTTATCATCAGATTAGAAGACAACGTAAATGCCACAAGGCCATGAACTCTAAAAGTAAACTTTAGATTCAGGCCCCATGGAGGAAAATCAGATAGCTTTTCAACTAAGTCATCCATTTACCACATCAACCCACTACCGCCTGGACTCCCCACATCATCATAAATCATCATATGTGCTCTGCTCTGTGGACAGTGCCACTGCTGCAGTAGCAGCATACAAACCTGTAAATGTCTCGTGCCATGCCAAAGTCTCCAATCTTGGCCACTCTGTCTGGACCAGGGCAGGTAAGCAAGCAGTTTCTTGCCGCAATGTCTCTGAAACACACATCTGTTAGATAATGGCACTAAACTCTACATCATACCAAATTAATGAACCCAATGATGATAGGTAAGGCTCATGGTTTTGTTTTGTTTTTTTTATTTTGAAGAAAAATAACCACATGATTCTGCCAATAACAGTAAGGAAAAATTCAAAAAAAGAAAGGTGCCATGTTTGTAGCTTCATTCTCAAGAAGCCTTGAGGCTGTTGATGCTGCCAAATGTACTTTAAACAAGTACTAAGTGAAGGGTCTGAATACTCATGTAAATGGCATAATTCAGTCTTTTATTTTTAATAAATGTACAAAAACTCCAAAAACCTGCTTTCATTTTGTCATTGTGAAGTATTGTGTAAAGATTAATGAGAGGAGAAAAAGAATTTAATCAATTTAAGGATGAGTCAAACATAAAATGTGGAAAACATTCTGTACTGACTGCAAGTACAGTGACTGTAAATATGATCTAGAGAAGTGTTGTAATGCTGTAATGTTTATCACCCATATGACTTTTCAGTCATATTTTCACATATATTATACAGTAAACACCACATTTGTGGACTTAACAAAAACAGGGAGTTTTAATGGTAAGATGCTTACTCAGACGTTTTTGTTGCAGTGAAGGGGGCATGTTCACAGCCCAGAATATCCTCTCAGCCAGTGCTACACAATGTTTCATTAACCACTTTTCACACGTATCTCCATTATAACATACAGAAGTAAGCACAGCCCTGATACATCTTATTTTTGTGTTGTTGAACCCCATATTCAGTTTGGATTTAAAGTGAGCTCTGAGTCATAATAACTGGGTGTGAATCTGAACCTGTGTATGAAGTGGTTCTCCTCCAGGTAGTGACAGCCACAGGCGACGTCTCTGGCCATCCGCAGCAGCTCCCGCATGGTGAGAGATGAGGTCTGGCGGCCCTGAACATAGCACAGCTCTGTTTAGCGTACTACACAAACACACACACTGTGAAAGACGTAGTACAGAACGTACAGCTCGAGGTCTGTTCTGTCTCAGAAAGCTCTTCATGTCTCCTCCCGTCATCAGCTCCAGCAGGATGAAGCGTGGCAAGATGCTCAGGCTGACACCCATGCAGCGCACAATGTTCTCGTGGCTGAACTTGCTACGTGGACAAACCATGAACACCACTTGGGTTAGCAGGCTGCACGTGTTCATCATGTGTAATGTTCTTTTCATGTGTGTATTTACGTGCACAGTGGATGTATTTTTATACACATGAATCTTAACAGGTTTTTCTTGGCCAGAGTTCTTTTAGTCTAACTACAATCTCAGTGCAAAACCCTCTAAGAGCTGGATTATCTCTAGTCTTTCTCAAAACATATCTCTAACAAAACAAAAACACCCAACAGATGTTTTAGACAGACACTAATTATTAGTACTGTCTTTCATATTAAAAATTAGAATTAACCTTT